TCAGTTGCACACCTACACACGTCAACACAGTGCGGCTGTGCTGAGACGCAGCGAGAGTGCCTCGCGCTCGCTGAGACACAGGCGCCAACCCACAGTGCGGCTGTGCTGACACGCACAGACGTGGGCCAGGCGAGCTACAGGTCAGACCTACAGAGCCACTCAGTTGCACACCTACACATGTCAACACACAGTGCGGCTGTGCTGAGACGCAGCGAGTGTGCCTCGCGCTCGCTGAGACACAGGCGCCAACCCACAGTGAGGCTGTGCTGACACGCACACGACGTGGGCCAGGCGAGCTACAGGTCAGACCTACAGAGCCACTCTGGGACCGGCCTAACGGTCATTTAGTGCAGGGAAACAGTGACACAGACAGACCAGAACCATATGATGGAAAGAAAAGAAGTAAGACCTGCCAGTGGCACTCTCCAATCACCAGCTCAACATCAACAGCAACAACAACAACAACGAAAACAGCAAGAACTGCAATAACAACTACAACAACAACAACAACAATGACAAAAACAACAATATCAACAACAACAACAACAATCTATACTCACCGTAGGGCTCTGGAATAGATGACACGGGAAACAGCTCTAGCTCCATATTCCCCGATATAAACTCTGTAGAGATTTTCTCTGAAACAGCACGTGAGATATTTATTATATTATTGGTAAATCGTTCTCCTGAGTTGTGTGACAGTGAATAATTTGCGACCCACTGGAAAAAGTGCTGTTGAAATTGTTCCAGACTGCCAAACAATGTCGAGGAGAAATGTGATTGTCTTAGACAGGTTGACATTTTGGACAGTGTCATGATACTATTAATCAAAACTGTTTTTTAAATTTAGATTCAATGTATTTCTGTAAAGCTGATAATAATAATGATAATAATAATGATAACGCACTCATGATCAAAACAATGTTTTTGTAATAAAAATGAGACGAATCCGGCAATAACAAAGTTAACAGTAATATTATCACAAAAACACCAAGAAGAAGAAGAAGAAGAAGAAGAAGAAGAAGAAGAAGAAGAAGAAGAAGAAGAAGAAGAAGAAGAAGAAGAAGAAGAAGAAGAAGAAGAAGAAGAAGAAGAAGAAGAAGAAGAAGAAGAAGAAGAAGAAGAAGAAGAAGAGCAACAGCAACAATAACAACAACAACAACAATCATCACCATCACGACCGCTAAAAAAACAACAAAACACAACAAGAACAACAACAACAACAACAACAACACACACACACACACACACACACACACACACACACACACACACACACACACACACACACATACGAACACACAGACACACACACACGCACACACACACACACACGTGCGCGCGCACACTCACACACACCGCAAACGAAAGACAAGTTTGTGCTCACCACCACGACGCAGACTCTCCTCTAAGATTGCCTCATTCGCGGTTTCGTCTGAAACAGTAACATGAGGCTCAGGAAATGCGAGAACAATGTTCCTTCAGACGTGTTAGTTGGATAATTTTTGTGAAGAGACTGAGAGGAGTAAGTTGGATATTATTTCTGTGAAGAGACTTGGGTGTGTTAATTTGCCTGAAGTCTAATAATATTTTGTAAAGAGACTTAGATCCACAAGTTCAAACATGCTGTAAGAGACTGAGATAATGTATGAGTTCTAATATTATGTGAAGAGACTTGAATGGTATTTTGGGTTGGTTTAACATTTTGTAAGAGACTGACATATACAAGTTCATAAATTTTGTAAGAGACTAGGATGCATACGTTTTAATGTTTTGTGAAGAGACTTGGATGTGTTGGTTTAAAGGTTTGTAAGAGACATAGATGTGTAAGTTTGGAGACTTTGTAAAGAGATTGAAATATATGAGTTTAACATTTTTGGGGATACTCAGATGCATTAATTGGAAATTTTTGTGAAGTGATTGAAATGTGTACGTTTTTGACATTTTATGAAGAGATTGAGATGTGTAAGTTTGGATATAAATTATTGTGAAAATGGTATAGGTTTAACGCTTACAGTTTGTGAAGAGACTTAGATATATTAGTTTTAACAATTGAAGGGACAGGAGTGTGAATGGTTAGACATTTTGTGGAAGGAAATAGCTAATGATGATGACAATATTAAAGCAATAGTATGTAGTAATGGCAATAATATACTGATAACGATGATGATAATGATAATGATAATAATTGTATTTATAAGATCTATTTTCTTTATCAATCAAGTATCATATTCACGTGCCATATCTGATACACGCATCGTGGTGCGCCATTCGTTTCTATGCTCAAATGTTCTAAAAAGGTAATATATAACAAAACCATTTGGTATCTTGATCTTATCTCGCCCTCCATTTGTTCAGGTTCTTAAGTAAGTAGCTCTCGGCCTTTGTCTGCCTCTTTATCCGCACTTATCTGTTATTATTCATGAGGTATTAAGAAGACCAATGTCTTTATTTGAATCGAGCATCCCAGAAATTTGAAACTGCATTTGTTTCTGTCTCGTTGTTTTAATGTTGATTGGCCGACTCAAGATTTTTTCAGCGCCAACTTCTTTGATTTCTTTCCTTTCCATGAAACTCTCATCAGTCTCCTATTATCATTTCTGCTGCATCTATGTTAATTTCCCTCTCTTTAGAATTTCCAGCATTCACAGAGGATCACGAACAGCCTTTAAAATGATTTAGTTTCCTTTCAGAAGTTCCATTTCTGAGAATTGGGCATTTTTAAAATTAAAACTTGATAACTTGATCACTTGGTTCCAGAACTGGGTCTTCAGAGACGGATTCTATCAATAATTCCTCGTCCCTCCTCGGCAGGGAAGGTATTCATACTGATGGACAACTTCAACACTGAGTGCTGATTCGTCTGCCAGGGTTTGCGGGGGTTGCTGAGCCTGTTCCGCTCTGAGTGAATTCCTTTCCTGTCCTGAATCTCCAGGGTGGAGGAGCTGTCTTCCCTCTTGCTCGCCAGGTAGTAACGTGCAAGCGCAGTCACAATAGGACAACCAATTTAATGTGAGCGATCCCTTTATTCCAGCGCTCCCAGTCAGATGATCTGCTCACCCATTCCCTCTCACACCAGCATGACCAGGGCAGAAGGTCCAGGCGACAGCCCTCAGATTGCTTCGTTTCATTTCGCTGAGCCAGTCAGAATAGAGGAACCCACATTTTACTTTTTAAAAGTCTGCTCATTGAGTTAGACATAATTGTGGCAGACTGAAATGTGCAGTTACATTATTCTTCTATGGCCATCTGAGATAGCTTTGACTTCCATGCACATTATAGAAGTGATGTACACTCTTACACCAGATCCTTGTTGTACACAGTTTCCATGAACTCGAGCCTTAAAGTCCAACGCTGAAGAGAGCCATCTGTTAAAATTATTGGTTCTTCCAACTAGTGGTTGTTCTCAATAGGAGTTTGATCTGTGCACGCGTTACTTCTTCTGGTCACTCACGACATTCATATTGTGAATAATTTATTGAAACTATTTTTTAGATATTACAATTCCTCTTATTGTTATTTGTTTTGTTGTCTAGCTTTGAATGTGATAATATACAATCTTATATATTCAAATTATTAATCTTGTTTGAGCTTTTCATATTTGCTAGAGATTATTAATCGGGTTGACAGCTGTTTAGATATGATGATATTATTCTTTTTTCTTTCAATATAAATGCAAAACGATGGTATTCCCTTTCCCAGAAAAACAGTACCTAGAGTAACTGAACATCGTTTATTGTTTCTTTAATCAAAAATGTGTCGCAGACATATCTATGGTGTTGACTTTGCAGCGCGCTTGCTCTGAGACATGGACTTTCAATTATTTCACAAAGCATGTTAAAGAGCTTTAGTAACATAATATATCATTGCTGTTCTACTATTTTTAATTCACTGTTTATATGCGCTCTACCATCCCTCAATAGTTACAACAGCGGTTTGGTCACATATCACACTCTAGTCTTACTCATAGATCTTTTCCTAAGTTTTAGAAGAGGTTTTACGGTGCTCGCAACGGCATAAGGTCATATGAACGCCAGAAGATTAAAGGTGTTACAAGAGAGTAACAAATATAAAAAAAGAAGGGGAGTTAAGGACGATAGATGTTTGATAGGAAAGAAGAAGCAAACCACACAAGAGTACCCGCCAACCACCCACTCATAGATGCTTTCCATTAGATGCTTTTCATTTGTGTCTAGCACTATCAAAATTTTAAATAAATGTATCAAGTCTCACTTTGTCAAACGCCTTTAAATTTGTATTGAAGTGTGATATGCTTTTCTGTGTTTCAGTGCACCTTTTCATTAGCATTTTATGACGAATATCGCATTTCGATTACCCTTGTCAAGAACTAAGTCAGAGTGTGTTTTAGATACCTTTTAACGTACACTTTTTCTCAAATTGTATACCATTAGCAAACGCAGAGAAAAATTATGTTAAAAATATTCATTGTGCTTATTGTTTTATGCAACTCTCAAAGTGTTTCCAACAATAAGCTGCATTTTCTTTTTATAAGAATGATACTTGTATTGATGATTACCACACTATTGAACGTAACAGCTTCAGCAAAGTCAGCAGCAACGAATAGACAAGTAAACAAACAAACAAACAACAACAACAAAAATAACAAATACAACAATTTAAAAAAGAGAAAATACAATAGTGTGTGCTCACCGCTAGGATACGTATCCTCCCATAAAGGTAACAGATCCCTGTTCATCTGTTCCAGAGACAACGATTCTGGGAGGGTTTTCTGTGATCCTGAAACAACAACGTGGAAATCGGAGGAGGGGAGGGGGAGGGGTGAAGGTTCAGCAGGAAAAATGTTCATACTGAGATGTGCAAGATTGGGCAATATGTGAATGGACTGAGTAGTATAAGTTGCGTACTTTGTAAAGGGGTTAAGTGTTTTCGGTTAAACATTTCGTGAAGAAGAAGAAGAAGAAGAAGAAGAAGAAGAAGAAGAAGAAGAAGAAGAAGAACAACAACAACAACAACAACAGCAACAACAAAAACAATAACAACAACAACAACAACAACAACAACAACAACAACAACAACAGAAGAAGAACAGAAAGAAGAAGAAGAAGAAGAAGTGAACAACATTACCATCATCAACATCAAAAGCTACAGCTATATATATATAAACAACGGCAGCTAAAACATCAACAACAGAACCAAACAAACAACAACAACAACAACAAATATACCAATACCAGTAGTAATAAGTATAAAAACAACCATCACCACGCATCACACCAAAAATAATAACAACAGCAACAACAACAACAACAGCTAAAACAATCAAAATGAAAACTACAGCAACAACAACAGCAACAATTAAATAATCAAAAACATCGATAACAAAAATAATGAGTTTTATAATTTTTTTAAAAGGACTGTTCTGTGTACAGATTGAAAATTTGGAAAAGAACCAAAGACGTCAAACACTGAACATAATTTTAATGAAGGGCAATTTGTTTGATTAAGATTGAACATTATGAAACAAACTGTAAGGTGTCGTAATGCTCGTTTTGAGATGAGGAGACTCAGGTGAGTAAGGTTGAGTATTTTTTTCTGTCCCTTTCTATAATAATAATAATAATAATAATAATAATAATAATAATAATAATAATAATAATAATAATAATATAATAATAATAATAATAATAATAATAATAATAATAATGATAAAAACAAAAATAACAAAGACATAATGATAATAATAACAAATAATACTAATAATGAAATAATAATGATAACAATGATAAAAACAAAAATAACAAAGAAATAATGATAATAATAACAAATAATACTAATAATGAAATAATAATGATAACAATAATTATTGTTGGTGTTACTATCAGGATGATCACAAACTGAATATTACTATACCTTCATGTGCGCCTCCGGGTGATGTCGATAAAAGAACGAATGCCGCAATAAAAAGGCCTGGAAAAGACAATGAGTCGCTGGCAAGTTATATTATATATTATATCTATAATAATACTTACACCTACATGTTTTTTTTCTTCTGAATCATCGCAACGTACACGGAGCTACGGTAAGGCATGGTATGGTATGGTATGGTATGGTATGGTATGGTATGGTATGGTATGGTATGGTATGGTATGGTATGGTATGGTATGGTATGGTACCCTTTTTCTTCCCTCTAGCATCTTTAGAATGTCGAGGGGGGAGCAGGTTTCAACCCCGTTCAGCCAGGTCTTTCTCGATTTTCCTCTAGATTCGGAGCCAGATTTAAGAGTGTGATAAGCTCTAGCTACTGGTTGTTTCTGGGGCATTCTGGTGAGATGTCCGAACCATTGATTCTTTGAAGCTCAAAGAAATTCGTAACTGGTTGTATTCCGGTTAGTAGGCGTATGGTCTCGTTGCTTGAGCGGTCTCTTCAGGTGATATTGATGGTTTTGCGGAGACACCTCATTCGGCATTCATTGATTTTTTTTTTCTTGTGCTTTATTTACGGACGCAGTTTGGCCCTGATATGTTAGGGTTGGTGAAGAGATACTTTTGATAAGCTGGGTTTGCACTTCGGTTGGGATGTTCTTGTGACTGTGCAGGGGTGCAAGATGGAATGTCACTGCGTTTCCGTCTTGGCTCTTGTTTCTATCTTTCTGTCCATACGCCCGTCTTGTGTGCAAATGCTTCCCAAATTTTTAAATTCTTTTACTTGATGGAGTTGTGTCGCATCCATAAAAATGTTGAGTTTTACTGGGTTTCTGCTGACCTTCAAAACTTCTATTTTTGAAATGGAAATTTGTATGTTTGGGTGCGTACATTCCTCATTAATTTAGTCTTGTGCTGTGTCTTGTACTTCCTCTTCATCTGAATTTAATATGCTCTAGTCAACAGCAAAAAAGGAGCTCGTTCAGTTCATTGATGTTGTCATTTGCTGCTTTCGTGATTTTATCCATGTAAAGGATGAAGAGAAGCGGAGAGAGAACACACCCTTGTTTCAACTTACACCTGGTAGAGAACGAGTCTGATAGTCCCTTTGTTGTTCTTACGGCACACAGGCTGTTTTCATAAAGTGCTGTGATGTTCACCAGCAATTGTCCTGTTACACAACAATCCTCTAGAATTCCTCCAAAGTTGACATCTGTTCACCCGTTCGAACGCTTTTTCCAGATCTACGAAAATCATCTTGAGGTCTTTATTATGTGCAATAGCAGTCTCACACAACTGCCCTAGTGCAAAGCTCCAGTACAGCATTTTCTTTTGTTGCCTTTCGTCTTTCAGATTCGTACAATGAGAGCGCGTTGCCTGTCATTTGGTGCTCTATTTGTCCTCCCAAGCCAGGTTAAATGTCATCTGAAGCCAGGGTTTACCGCTATTGCCGCATAGCTTGATCTATTCTGCTGTGATGTTATCAACGCCTGGTTCGTAGTTTGTGGGATTTTTCTTTAAACACGTTGGGTTTCCCTCATCAGTAGTGATCGTTCTGGAGTGGTTTCTTTCGGTGAGAAGCTGTTTTGGGTTGTTTCTCCTGTAGGATTCAGCAGCTCCTGGAAATAGCGAACCATCTTTCCTTAATCTCTAATCCACTGAAAATAGGGTTTCCATTCTCATCATTGACACTTTCAGTTTGGTTTAGTGATTCTTCCCGCATCCTCATGCTTTTAACGGTCTTGTAAAATTCTCTGGGGTCTTCCTTGTGTTTTCTTGCCAGCTGTTCCCCATACACTGTCCAGGATCTTTTTCTTAGCTTCTTTTATTACCCGTGTTCTTGGTGAAGTTACTTTCTGTAAAGGATGTTGTCTTCCTCTGCCATTGATTTCTGCCACTTTTTGAATGCACTTTCCTTCAACTGGATGTCTTCTTTTACCTGGCCAGTCCACCATTTATTTGTTTTCCTTTTCTGCCCTCCTGGTTTCCTGGAGCGGCACTCTTCTTTTAATGCTCTGTTCACGCAGTCTTTGAAGCGGCTCCATTTCTCTTCAAAGTCTCCTGATTGTTGGGGCAAATTGAGGAAATCATCTTTTATACGTTAGTGGATCTTAACTGGGGTATCGTCATTTATATTCCTGAGATTTATGAATTTTCATTGTCTCCTAGCTTTTGGCCTTTTCCTGTTTGGTGTGTCATTGGTCATGATGACTGGTCTGTGGTCAGT